TGGTGACAGGGCCTGGCCTCCTGGGGCTCCTGGTGCAAGCCCCGCCCGCCCTCCAGTGCAGGAGGAGCATGCCTGGAAACTCCCAGCAAGAGCACAGGTTGAGATGGAGGGCCTAGTGTGGCCCCTCGCCTGCAGATGGAACTAACAGAGCAGAAGCACGCTCAGGTCCTGGAAGCTAGCTAGCCCAGCCTCAGGCTTAGCGTCCAGGAAATAAGGCTAAACTCCTAATCCTCCCCATCAACCCCAGCAAAGCCTCCAAAACCAAGCCACCACCCCCCCAGGCCCATCTCCGAGCCCTGGCTCTCCCACAGCTGGCCAACAAGGGTGGCATACCTCTCCTGTCTTTGCAGCTGTCTGGGGCTTGAGGCAGGGACAGGCCATGGAAGGCCTCCAACTCCAAGAGATCAAGAGGACTTGGTGGAAAGTGACTCCCACAGGGGAGAGATGCTGAGGCCAGCCCACAGCTGGCTAATCCCAGCACCCCCGGAGTGTCCCTGGAGCTTAGCTGAGCCTGCCAGAGAGCCAGATGTCCCAGGCCCTGAACAGCTGGGTGGCTGGTGGCAGCAGAGCTCATTCCCATTCTCTAAGCACAGAGCCCGGGGTGGTGGCAGGACTTGGGGAGGGGGGTCCTCCTTAGAGGACTGGGTAAGTGGGAGGCTTGCAATGGAAGATGCACAGTTGGATTATGCAAAGAAGCCACACATCTCTACCTCGCTCAGGCCTGTGTCCCCAGGCATATTCTTGGGCTTAAAGTATTCAGGCATTCAGAAGACGAGGCCCAGAGAGGGCGGTGCCGCCAGAGCCTGCAGCTCCCCACTCCGCTATGGACTCTCCCTCCTACAGTGAGGAGAAAACCAGACCATCCCTGAGCGCATAGAGAACACGCACTGTGTGGAAGACAGTCTCGAAAAACCTTCCCCACACCCTGGGAGGGAGGAGACTCCACAAACCCATTCCTTTCCAGGGAAGGAAACTGAGGCTCCAAGGTCATGACTTCCCAGTACCACTCTAGCAGGATTTGAATCTGCCTTCTTAAAGCTGGATTAGCCCACCCCCACCCTCCAGAGAAGCACCTAGATTCAAGATCAACCAGAAAACAAAACAAACTAAAAGCTAAAGCTTTTTAACTCCCGGAGAAGGGCCTGATCGCTTCCGCCTGTGGAGCTAGAAAGAATATTTAGTAGTCCACGATTCCCGCCTTCCTGCTGTCAATCACCTCTGCTCCCTCTAAGCCATACACTTCCACCTGCTCTGGGCCCTCCTCTGCTAAGCAAGGAGCCCCCAAGAGGCAGGCCCTCAGCAATAAGCCACCCATGACACCAGTATGCCAGGGGCTGGAGTCCTATGCCGTGTGTCCCTCTGTCAACTGTGACAACCCATACCCCACCTCGCTGACACGGCAGGACCCATCACTGAATCTCAGGAATGGGAGGGGCTAAGATGCACTAAGGCTAGCTTTTAGGCAAGGCCTAGGTGGTTCATCCCATCATAGCGTGGGGGGGGGGCAGTTCTCGCCATCCTGCCTCATGTGACCACAGGACCCTTTGTGGTCCCTCATGCACACTCTTCCTCTGCCCTCTACTGACGGAGCCTCTGTCACTCAGACATCCTCAGCTCAGCAGGACATCGGTGACTACCTAACAGACACCTGTCATCCTGTACCCCCAAAAGGAGATTCCAGTCCCAGCCCCCAGATCTGTCAATGGAATCATCCTCATTCAGAACTAGTGTTTCTGTAGACATATGCAGACACAGGAGGAACCCGAGTGAAAACAGTTGGGGTGATACTGAGAGGAGATGGAGCCTAAAAGCACAAGCAGCTGATGGCCACCTCAGGACACTTCAAGAAGAGCACATTTGCACATAAGCACACACACATATGCACACATGCACACATGCACACATGTACACACACACACACACACACACACACACAGGTTTCACACTGACTAATTCTAAAGTAACAGCCTCTGGGAATGCAGCCCTAATGTTCTGGGCCACCCTGTTTGTGGGACTTCATTATGGTGGCATCCTGGGAAATTCAGATGCACCTCAGCCAAAACTTCACATGACGTTCATGCTCTCTCTCTCACACACACCCCATTTATTTCCATTATCTGACCTCCAAGAACGGCACTGGGCATATCTGTGCACAAAAGTAGCTGACTAATAAACCTCAGAGCCCATTGTTTCATCAATGATATGGCCTTGACCTCCATGAAAGCCGCCTGACTGAGCTTGTGGGTCTCTGGGAACACAGGGCACAGCAGGTGCACACAGGCGTGAGACAGAGACACCCCTTCTCTGGAAAAACAGCATGCAAAAGCTGTGTATCAGGAAGCAAGTTCTGCACAGGCAAGAGGAGCTCAGGGTCAGAGGTGACCTGCAGACCAAATGGCCCTCAGCCACCAGGAGGGCACATGTTCCTGCAGGGAGAGATGGGAGAAGGGTGTGTGTATGGCCGGTGAGCCATCCCAGGTGGGCTAGGCAGGACTCACCAGATGCCACCACATTCCCAAAGTTGGACCTCTCAATGAGGCAGATACGGAGGCAGCCAAGAGCCCTGGGCACAGGTGGATGCCCCACCTGTTGACAAGGAACTTCTGGGTATGTGCTTTACCTTAAGCCATCAGCCTTCAAGAAAGATCAAACATCTGGTCTGGCTAAGAGTCTCGATGGCCTGGAAAGGGCGGCTCAGTGGTTGAGAGCACTTGCCCAGCTTACATGAGAACCCGGATTTGATTCTAAGCACTGTAAACCAAGAGTTCTGGGAGTGATGATGACCCCAAGTCCACAGTAGGTGCTTGGAACTCCAGAAGACAGACCATGTCCTCCTCATGAGGCTGGGCCTGGGACCAAGATAAGATCCACAGGACACCTGAGTGTCTGGGGAGATCTAAAGTCAATCTGCATGGCTGCCGTCCTGCCCCCAGCCTCCCCCCCCCCCCAGCTCCTTCTTGTCTCTGCCATCTTATTCACTGCCTACCTCTCTGGCAAGAAAGCCGAACAGGGTAGAGCTTGTGCAGGGCCGTGGGGGCTGTAAACACAAATTAAAGCCACACCAGGATGCCATCTGTCACCCATCAGAGTGACAAAGATCAAAACAGTTTGGTAAGAGGCCTTCCCGAGTGCATGGGGACCAGCCGTCTCCTCCCTCACTGGGGGAAGGAGCCCAGGGACATTTGCGAAGGCCATGTGTGGTGTGTGGATGAGCATGTGCACACATGTATGTAACCCAGCCACAGAACTTCAGGCAGACGTGGTCAGGGTGAGAGGAGGCAGCAGGCCTGGGGAGTGGCTGGTCAGGGAGGGCTGCCTCGAAAGCATGAGGACCTGACTTTGATCCCCCTGAACCGCGTAAAGAAAAAGCCAGAGGGTGGGAAGGCAAGATGGCCCAGTGGGTAAGGGTGCTTGCCACCAAGCCTGGCCACCTGAGTTTGATCCCTGCAACCCACATGGAAAGAGAGGACTGACTTCTTCCAGTTGTCCCTGAGGCCACCCCCAGAGCACTGTCCACCACAGCAGGATGAAGGCTGCTTCACAGAACAAACAGATGAGATACCCAACACAACACAGCCCATCCCACAGAACTGTGCCGGTCTGAAAGATTCAGGACGGGCGGTGTCGAGCAGAATGCCCCCACCTAGAAGCAGGAGACAGTGGATGGTGGACTCCTCCATGGAAAGAGAAACGGAGCCAAAGAAGCCGCCTGGGGAAGGGACTGAGGCCTCAACAGTGAGAGGAAACCTAAACTCCAGTGGCCTCTGCTTCTCTCGGCAGCGTTCTTCCATGCGTCTGTCGCGTCCATCTGAAACCATCTTTTTCTTCCTTGTCGCACTGAAGACTGAACCCAGGGCCTTGCGCATTCTAGGCAAGCACTCATCACTGAGCTAGTTCCCACACCTCTTATTTTATCTTTTAGTTTGAGACAGGGTGTCACTAAGAGATGCCAATCCTCAGCTGAGTACCATCAGACTCCATTAAACTATTATCAGAAAAGCTTTTCAGAAGCCTGGTCTCCAGTTCCCAAACCTGGGCTGAGTCCCCATGCGGTCTCTCTCTCTCTCTCTCTCTCTCTCTCTCTCTCTCTCTCTCTCTCTCTCTCTCTCTGATCTTCTGTGGTGGGAGGATACTTTGATCCTGCCCATTTCACAGACTTCTTACTTCAGAGTGCTAGTGTGTATATTAAGTTACACATGAGTGCAAGACACTAGAAACACACCACAGAAGTTCTGTTTCCTTAGCCACCAAGACGGGCTGCCCAGAAGCAGTGCCTGGACCAGGCTCCCCTCGTCCCCGTTCCCGTCCTAGCTGGGCATTCTCCCACTAACTTCTGTGCCACAGTGTCTGTGGGGACAATAAAAGTCCCACAGCCTCAGAATACAAAGGCCTGGCCACAAGAAAGGCGATCTTGGCTGCTACAGAACTTTGGAATGTATCTGAGGGCGGCCCCCCCATCATCTCTGAGCTCTTCACCTTTCTCGAGGTTCCAGAAATAAGTCTTTCAAAACAAACTTTTGGTTCCTGACCTAGCATTTCTTGGACAGCCAAGATTCTCCAGCTGTTTGCTTTTGGTTCGTTTTTGTTTTGTTTTGTTTTGTTTTCCTTCCCTTAGCATTTGATTACAAATGGCCATTTTCATTGGTGGTCCTGATATCACCCAAGGCTCAGAGTAGTGAATAGAAGGACCATCAACACCAGCCCTCCCCCAACCCCAACACACCACCACACCTAGACCGTTCATATAGACCTGTCTAGGGCGGCACAGTCACAGGCTTCCCAGGCTTCCTGGCCTCCCAATATCCCCGGCCAAGTTTGTATACCGTCATAGTTTGAAGGAACATTCACACATCACATACCTTAAGGCAGTCATCTGGTCTAGGGCCCAATAGTGGAAGCTGGCAGGATCGTTCCCCGTCCCACCCTCAGCCTGTCATCCACTCCTTCCTCGGCAGCTAAGGGAACTCAGGATCCCACTCCCGTGCAGAGGCAGAACCTACCTGCCTGAGTGCTCCTGGAGCACCTGGTAGACTCTGATCTGGAAGGTCTCGTTGTCAAATCGCTCCCGGATGTAGTCCTTATAGATCCGGAATTCAGCCGCAGTCACTGCTTCGCCCTCGGGGATCTTGGAAAGATCAAACCGGAACTCTCGATGGTGGTAGCGGGGGTGGAAGAATTCCTTGTCATGTTCCACTGGAGGGGAAGAAAACACACCAGCACCGAGAAATATTTAGTGTCTAGTTCATCTCTGTCCATGCAACTGACTGGGTGTCCTGAGCTGGGTGGACACGGCCTTGGCCAACCCTTTGTGAAAGCCTTCCATCCCATACAGACACACTGTGGACCCGATGGTCACTGGTCCAGACCCGAGGGCAATCTTCAACAAGAGCATGGCTCTGTATCCAACTTGCTGGGGAAAGTAAAGCGCTGACCACAGCAACAACCACACCAAACCCTAGAAGCTCAAGCCTGGGTTCTAATCCAGCCTCGGCCACTAAGTAGCACTGTGGCAGTAAAAGATGCCCGATGCCCCATCTGAAACTCAGTTTCACCATGTGGAAAATGGGGCTGTGATGTGTGAGGGGCCGAATTCACATACGTGACTGATAATGTTATGGTAGATAACTGTCACTGGTGAGCAGGCACCTTGCTTGGCCTGTCCAAGGACAGCGTAGGACAATGGTTCCCAGCCCTGGGCTGCATGGAAGAGTGACTATGGATGCTTTTAGTAATTAAAGATGTCTGGTGATGGTGGGCTTGTGCTATAACCAGCTCTCAGCAAGGTGTGACAATTCCTATGGTGTAAATGCTACCATCCTGAGAGAGCTCAGCTGATGACCCAAAGGGACTTCAGACGAGAAGAGACGCACACCATGAGCCGCCACCGCACCGTGCTCCTCATAGCCCACCCTGAACGGAAAGGGATCAAGAGCTGGCAGAGGGAAGTCTCCAGATGCCTCCTGGCGTCGGCTCTCCTCCTAACACATGGGAAAGGTGAGCTGACATGACAATGAGGTGTCAGAGATGCCGCCAGTCCCTCGGGTTTGCTGACAGGAGATGGAAGGAAGGACCCCTTTGCAGAGGCTGCTGAGAAAGGCAGTCTCCTGGGTATCAAGAGAGCCTGGTGACCCCAGGATAAGGAGTCAAGGCAGGAAGTCTTGGATAGTTCTCCCCCCCCCCAGCTCCTTCCACACTGCTTCAATTCATTTCTGACACTGATACAACACCCTGACACAAGGCAACCTAAAGCGGAGAGGGTCCCTTTGGCCTGCAGGTCCCGGTGACAGTCCATCACGGCAGAGGCTTGGCCACAGGCAAGACAGAGAGGAATGAAGGGACCCACGTGGCCTGCTGGCTTGCTGACTTTCCTCATTCTTATACAGTCAGGGCCTGAATGCCTACGGAATGCCAGCACCCATAGAGGACTCGGTCTTTGTACAACGATTAGCAATCAAGACAGTCCTCCGCAGACAAGCTTACAGGCCAACCTGATCTAGACAATTTCTCAACGTCCCAGGTGATGCTAGGTGCTGTCAATGGACAGGTAAACTTAACCAGCACAGTGCCCAAGCTTCCTGAGGAAGGGAGCATAACACAGCAATGGCCAAGCATGCACCTGAGACCCGAAGGTGTCTAACAGCCTGCCTGGAGTCAAAATGCTGGGATTCACACCAGGACCTACCCAACCCAGGCCCTGCACCACCACATGTGTTTAAAGCAACCGTGAGAACAGCTGGGCAGGTTGAGTTATCTGTTTGTTGAATGACTTCACAGTGTACCACTACACATGTGTAGCGGCAGCCACCAGTCCCGCAGTGAACAGCCAGTGCCTATGCCCACACCACCCCATCTGCTCACCCCAGGGAGGAGCTTCCAATGTACACCCCAATAGCATCCCCACCCAAGCAAAGCCACTAAAGACCACCCTGTATCCAGCTGGGACATAAATGGCCGTCCATAGTCTTGCTGGCTTCCAGGAGGTAGCTAGCACGTGACTCCAGCCTTCGGATGCCACCCTTACTTTCCTCCTTCACCGGGAAGTGTTAGGGGCCTCCTGACTGCCCAGCTACTCTTCTTGGTCCTAACGTCTGTCCATCTTGCAAGCATTCCCTAGACTCAGCCTTGGCTTACTCACAGCTCCCCAGGGAGAGCTCGTCTACCCAGAACATGGTTACAGCCCACAGGCAGATGGCTCCCTGCATGCAGAGGACCCCACCTCCAGAGGACCCCACCTCAGAGGACCCCACCTCCAGAGGACCCCACCTCAGAGGACCCCACCTACAGAGGACCCCACCTCAGAGGACCCCGCCTCCAGGGGACCCCGCCTCCAGGGGACCCCGCCTACAGAGGACCCCACCTACAGAGGACTGCCTACCTGCTAAGGGCTCCGACATGGAGACAACTCTCTGCATATAAACGACCCGGACACGCACATGGCTTCCTCTCATACCTGGCTGTCTCCCCCAAGCATCCTGCCTATGCATCTAGTCCTGCCTTGGTATCTCCAGTAGTAGGACTCACAGACCAATGAGAAGTCAGTCCCCAGATCATTCATAAATCACCCCAGTCAAGCCTGGCTCTCTCCTGACACTCTCTCAGCTTGGCCAAGCAACGCTCACTCTTTTCTGCTCTAGCAGAGCCCCCACAACCAACCCAGATGCACGCCTTCCCTCCTCATCCTAAGGCTCCTGAGCAGTTCTCTCTATGCCCACCCCCTCCGCCCCTTCCCTTCTCTCCAGCCACACAGCTGAGTTTGGGCAACTTTGCCTATAGATGGGACCAGCCTATCATGGGAACTTCCGCTTAGGTTCCAGTGGTGTCCTGGAGTGTCAGGAGAGTGCTCTCGGTGCCCAGCCCACACCGCTAAGACATGGCCCTCACCATGTCCTCCTACCCACTTTCCTGCTCTGCCCACAGGAAAAGCCCTGCCCTCCCCTCCCCTTCTCTCCACTCCTCTCCCCTCCTGGAGTAGGCCATGTTTTCCTGGGCGAGTGATGCTTCCAGGCTCAGCAAGGAGAGCCACCCTGTGTCTGCCCAGGGTCACTGTGGGCTCCCAGCTGGAGTGCAGTCAATCCCCACAAGCTTTAGTTCTGTGCCCCCTCCCCCGGCTTCAGACTGGTTCCACTAGCAAACCAAAAGATCAGGCAGAGAAGAAGACAGCAGAGTGTCTTCTCTTTCCTAGCCAAGGATGGCTGAAGAACCCAGAGGTGCAGAGGCACAGGCCTTCTGTGATGCTAGCATGCAGAGATGCTCACCATGAATAGCTTTGGCCATTGTCTAGGGGGAACCTGTGAGATTGGAGGGATTCCTGTTTTGCAGATGAGGAAACTGGGGTTCAGGGAGGCCAATTAGCTTATGTACAGTGCAAAGTGAGTGACAGCAGAACTCTGAACCCCACACTTTTGACCTCTATTCACTGAGACCTGGGGTCCAAGTTTGGTCTTGGCTGTGTCAGTCAGCTGTGTAGCCTGGGTCATGTGACCTGTGCTCAAATGTCTCTGTGTCCTCAGAGGATAACAGCAATGGCCTTGGCAGTCATCAAGGGTGGCCCTTAAGCAGTAATGGCAAAGGGTGTCTGCCACTGTCACGGGGCCTCCAAATGATGAGGCAGGAGAACGCCCATCAGTACAGACAACAGGATGTACCTGTGGGTGTTTACATCACAGCACCAGGACAGGGTCACTTACCAAAGACAAACAAGGAATCATGAGGCAGAAAGAAAGAAACAAACAAACAAAGGGACACTGTATTAGTTACTTTTCTGTTGCTGTGACCAAGTTCTCAGAACTAAGGCAAGACTACAGGGAAGGGTTTACATGAACTTGGGCTCCCAGAGGGCTAGAGTCCATCACCACGACGGAGAGGAAGCATGGCAGCGGCAGGCATGGTGGCTGAGAGCTCATCTCTTAAACTCCAAACAAAGCAGAGACAGAGACAGAGACAGAGACAGAGAGAGACAGAGAGATCTAGAAAGGACAAGACTGAAGACCTTGAAAAGGGCTGGAGGGACATGCTAACTGTGGTCCTGAAACCCTGGGACTCTAAAGGAAAGTGTGTCCCCACCAACAGGGCGGCGCCACACCAGAGAGACCAGGACGTCCACACTGCTCCCGGGGAAGGGAGGAGACAGGTTTTCATGGACAGGTTTTCCATACCCACCACCTCAGTCAACACAGCGCTCACGGAGGCCCAGGCTCGGATTCGAGACCTGGCTAGACTGTACCAGAGAGAAGTGGTGGGGGGCGTGGGGCCTGCAGAGTCTTCTCCAATGTGGCCCCGAAGCCAGACAACATTAAAGCCCCTACACTTGGTGAGTGTGTGTGTGTGTGTGTGTGTGTGTGTGTGTGTGTGTGTGTGTGTGTGTGAATGCACGCCTGTGAAGGCAGGACCAGGGTGTTGGCTCCCCTGGAGCTGGAGTTACAGGGGGGTTTTGAGCCCACTGATGTGGGTGTAGGAATTGAACCCCGAGTCCTTTGGGGGAGCAGCAGCTGCTGAGCCGTCTCTAGTCCTCAACAGCCGCCAAACTTTACGGTCACCTGGGGAAATGTGGGTGACCAGCGCTGTCTCACCGCCTGCGCACACGTCACTCAGTTCTGTGAGACGCATCTCAGTCCGCTGTCTCTAGAATGTTCATCTGGAAAAAGTGAAACTCTGTCCCCACTAAAGGCTCATTTTAGTCTCCGCTCCCCCGGCACTAGAGACCACTGTGTAACTTCCTGTCCTGTAGCTGCGTTCCTCCGTGAACCTCCTGTCAGAATCTGTCCTGTGACTGGGTCATTTTACTCAGCAATGTCCTCGGGATCATCAAGGTTATAACAGGCATCAGAACATCTCTTTTCAAGGTTGACTAACATTCCATCGTATGGCTCGACCACGCCCTGTTATCTACTCATCCTCCTGTCGGGACAGGTGGTCTGTGGGGCTCACCGGCCAGCCAGCCTTGTTTAACTGCCGAGCTTCAGGTCACAGTGAGACACTCTGTCTTAAAAAATAAGATTGGACAGCTTCTGAGAAATGATACCTCAGATTGACCTCCAGTCTCCATACACCACACACACACACACACACACACACACAATCACACCCACATCACACAACCACACACACTATACCCCCCACCCCACACATAAAAAACATACACAACACAAAACACACACTACCATATCCACATCACACACACCACACATCCCATA